TTTTCTCTTCCATTTGTGTATTTGAAAGACACAGCAACAGAGAGGGAAAGACAGTAGGGTAAGGGAGACTGAGCAGCAGAGAGAGATACCTTCTATCTGCTGGTTCACTCCCCAAATGGTGGTGATAGCTAGGAGGTCTGGGCCAGGCTGAAGCCAGGAGCCCGGAATTCCATTGTGGTCTCCCACATGGGAGAACTTGGGCCACCCTTTGCTGGCTTCCTAGGCACATTAGCAGGAAGCTGGATCAGAAGCAGAGCAGCTGGGACCCAGACCAGCATTCAGATATGTGATGATGTCACCGGAGTAAAGAGCCGTGGAAGCCGTGGGAACTCTTGTCTTCACACAAGAAAGAATTCAGGCGTGAGACAGAGAGTGAAGTAATAAGATTTTATTACGATAGGGCATCCGTCAGAGTGGAAGGGACAGAGAGCGCCCAGTCACTCGGACTGGGGAGAGCAAGGTTACGTGGTTGAATGGAGAGAATACACCTGGGCAGGGCAGCAGGCCAGGCGGGCCCGCTCAGCAGAGAGCTGAGGGCTGAGCGGAGCAGAGGGCGGAGTGCACAGTCTTTGTTTAGACTCCCGGTTTTTAAGGGAGTCTTTTTTTCTCCTCCAGGACAAAGGATGGGGAGCCCTGGCGGAAGGGTTTGTTGGGTGAAAATACGAAAAATTCTTTTCCAAGTTTACCACTGAGGTTGTCAGGGGAAGCCTTGCTGGCGTCAGCCAAGGGGCTTCTCTCTAGGGGCCCGCCTTAGAGGAAAGATGTTCATTAGACCAGGCAGAAGGGGATGGACCCCCTGGAAGGTTCTCAGGGTCTGGGCAGGACTTCAAAATGCATAAGCTGGACTGCTGTGGGTGTCAGTTTCCTTAGGCCCTTCTTACACATGTAGGCTCGTTTTGTTTCTTTTTCTTTTTTTTTTTTTAAGATTTTATTTATTTGAGAGGTAGAGTTACAGACAGTGAGAGGAAGGGGAGACAGAGAGAAGGATCTTCCTTCTGTTGGCTCACTCCCCAATGGCCACAATGGCCGGAGCTGTGCTGATCCGAAGCCAGGAGCTGCTTCTAGGTCCCCCACGTGGGTGCAGGGGCCCAAGCACTTGGACCATCCTCTACTGCTTTCTCAGGCCGTAGCAGGCAGCTGGATTGGAAGAGGTGCAGCTGGGACTAGAGCGGGCGCCCACAGGGGATGCCGACGCTGCAGGCGGAGGGTTAACCTAATGTAGCACAGCGCTGGCCCCACATAGGCTAATTTCTAGCTTCCTGCCTAACAGTGCTAGTCTCACAAGTTGTCAGTTTAACACTCTGCCACAGTGCAAGCCCCTGGAGTTGTGGTTTTAATGGGCGTGTTGCATTGAACATCAGTTTGATGCCAATTACGTGAATAATTACGGCAAACGTTTGTAGACTGCATTGACTGCATGCACTCTGCATGTAGTCTCATTTTCTCCGCATAGTGACCCTTAGAGGTTGTCATTCTTGTCCCATTTGCACAGATGAGGAAAACAGAGGGTAAAGAACGTTGCCCAAAGCCACGTAACGCCTGAACTAGAATTTGAGCCAAAGTTTTTGTCGTCTTTGTGGTCCCCGAAGTATGCATTCTTGGCAGGGACAGAAGCTGAAGCCTGTTAGTAACGGTGCCAACAGCCCAGTGCCATTACTCACCGTCTGTTAACAAGCACCCTCAGGCAGCTCCTCCACACCCCTTTGTTGGTTCCTATTCATTCTGGCAGTTGGCTTTCAGGTGTTCAGAGAAGCAGAGCCCTTGTCCACTTTTGGAATTAACCGGACATTTTAATGTGGATTGGTGTATATTCCCAGATGAAGTTATGGACACTGCATGTGTTAGATGGCAGGTGAGCTGCACTCTAAATAGAGCACATTAATTCTGGCAGTGGAAGCGGAACCCTACTGGGATAATTCTTACCGTCGGCAGCATTGCTCTGACAAGCTTTACGGGATTCTGTGGTGTAAGCAATTTGCAAAATTGAAAGGTGAAAACACACTGTCAAGTGTTGGTGTGCACTCAAGGTCAGAGGGAGGTGATTGGTTTTTCCAGGAGAGGCCGGGTGCAGATGAGAGCCACTTGATTGGAATCCTGCTGGCCACACAGGTGGCTGTCTGGGGTGTTTCATAACGCATTAGCTGCTGGGCGCCCTGGTTTCTGAGGAAGCAGAGGGTGGAAAGAAGGCTGTGCATGCAGTAATGTGGCTTGTGGTTTGCACTCACATGCTGATTTTAGGAAGGGGAGTGCATTGACACGGAGGGGTTCACGTGGAAGCCAGTGCTGCCTGAGTTGCGCCATTCTTCAGTCATTCCTGGGAAGTTTATCCAAAGTGATTGCCATGTGGGCTTGACCCACAAATGTACATGCACACACATTCAGGTGCTGTGAACAGAAGGAGAAATGAGGAAGCAACACAAATGCCATGTCCTAAGGGGGGTGGTTGGGTATCAGGGGCTGGGCACTTTGCTCGGAACTTAAACACCCCCCCCCAACACCCCTTACCCTAAGAGCCCCAGAGGATTGTGGACTTGTGTGCTTATCTTGTGGGGGAGCAATGGGGGGGGGGGCTGAGTGACTTGCCCAGGGCAGTTCAGTTGAATGGTCTCTCCATCTGTGTGTCCCGCCCTGTGGCCTGGAAGCTGCTTAGAGATGGGTTTTGTTATCTCTAGCCTCATGGAAGAATGCAGTGAGGGCAGTTGCTGGAGATGAGTGTCTTCATCTCCTTCTGGAAGGGCAGCTCAAGGACTTGGTTTGTTCCTCAGAGGGACCTGTGAATCACAGCCACGGCCAACAGTAGAGAGTCTACGCTTATCTTCCTTTGAATACTGAACAGCTGTGAACTTGGTCATTTTATTTCATTATTTAAAAAAAATAAGCTTATCTTTTAACTCCATGTCTCATGAACTTTTTAAAAAATATATTTATTTGTTCATTTGAAGGTCAGAGTTATATAGAGAGGGAAAGACACACACAGAGAGATCCTCCATTCACTGGTTCACTCCCCAGACAGCCCCAATGGCCAGGGTTGTGCCGTCTGAAGCCAGGAGCTTCATCTGAGTCTCCACATGGTTAGCAGGGGCACACACACTTGGGCCATCCTCTGCTGCCCTCCCAGGCCATCTGCAGGGAGCTGGATCAAAAGTGGAGCAGCCAGGACATAAACCGACGCCTGTATGGAATGCTGTTGTCGCAGGCAGTGGCTTTATCTGTCATGGCACAGCGCCGGCCCCATAACCCAATCATTTTAAAGAAAGTAGAGATCCCTTGGTTCTCCAGGCAGGTGATAGTGGTTTACAGGTAGCTCCAAGCGCTGGTGCTAATGTACTGCTGTTATCTGTGCCCTTGGGCTGCTCATCTCACTTGTCCAGGCTTTGGCCCTCATCCTTGACATGGACATGGCCTTGGTGGTTGTGGGGTCAGAGGTAAAGTGTCTGGCACCATGGTGGGTACACAGTTGATGCTCAATAAATGGTAGCTTCTGATGGTGCTGCTGTTTTTAGCAGCATGAAGTGTTGATGAGCCAATGTTAAGTGAACAAACTCCAGTCACACAGTGGGAACACACTAGGCTGTAACTGTGAAAGATGTAGATAAAAAAGGTGGCCTTGAGGGGATTCAAAGTTTCAGGAATATCTGTTTTATGGGTAAAAGCAAACTTTGTTAGCTTTCCCTTAAAGCCTTGAATCTGTTTACCCTCAGACCTAGTAATTCACTGTATAGGAATCTCTCCTAAGGAACCAGAAATGAGACAGTTATCTATGTGCAAGGGTGCTCACTGCTCTACGGGTCGGGGGAATTGGCACTGTATTCTATTCCCAGTAACAGAGAAGTCGTTAAATTGTGCTTCACTGAGAAGCCGTTGATAATCTTAGTTCAGAGACTTAATTACAATAGGAAAATATTCATGATCTGGCCAAGAAAATAAATGAACAAAGGCCTTAAATTTTCTCTCTCTCCTTTCCTCTCTCCCTCTCTGCCCCTTCCCTTCGGTCCCCCCCTCCCCCTTTCTCTCTGTCTCACTGTATCACCTATCATTTTCTTTTGGCTGCGGTAACAAAGTACTGCAAAGTCGTTGGCTTTTAAACAGCAGACATTTATTTTTTTTTTGTCAAAGATTTATTTATTTTATATGAAAGGCAGAGTTACAGAGAGAGAGAGGCACGGGGTGGGGGGTGTCTTCCATCCGCTGGTTCATTCCCCAGATGGTCACAACGGCCAGAGATGCAACGATCTGAAGCCAGGAGCCAGGAGCTTCTTCCAGGTCTCCCTCACAGGTGCAGGGACCCAAGCATTTGGGCCATTTTTACTGCTTTCCCAGGCCATAGCAGAGAGCTAGATTGGAAGTGGAGCAGCCAGGACTTGAACCGGCGCCCGTATGGGATGCTGGCCCTGCAGGTGGCAACTTTACCTGCTGTGCCACAGTGCCGGCCCCCAGAGATTTATTCTTTCACCGCTGTGGAAGGCAGAAGTTTAAAATCGGTTTCACTGGCGAAGGTCACAACGACGACAGGGTGTTGTGTACTGTAGGCTTATACTCCGTGCCACCCCTGCAGCTCCTGGTGGCTGCCAGCGTTCCTTGGCCGTGGCCACACCCTTCTAGGCTTCGCTGCCCTGCTCACGTCACCTTCTCTCCTGGGTCAGGCCTCTCTCGGCCTCCCACTGGGATGACACTGGGCCATGGGGATTTTCCAACGTGACCTGCCCACTTCCAGATCTTTCTCTTTATCACGACTGTAAAGAAAGAGCAGCACGGTGGAGTGTGGGACCTGTGTGTCTTCTGCAGGGGGGTGCGGTGGGGGGGTCGAGTGTCAAAATGTCGACTTTTTTAAGTGCAGGAAAAACGACTGGAAGGCGGTTCTTGAAAATGTTAATGATGGTCTCCTGACGGTGGGTTTTGGTGTCAGTTGTGTTGGTGGCAGGCTCTCTGTGTGCCCCTCGGGTTGCTCCCGCCAGCGTGAGCCTGGCAGGCTGAGTGACGCGCGCGCCCTCTCTCCACAGAGCCCGTGTTCTGGTCCTACGTGAGGGAGGCCCTCAGCAGACACGAGCTGCAGCGCTTCTACGGCCTGCGCCACATCGCCTCGGACGTGGGCCGCGGCCGGGCCTGGCTGCGCTGCGCCCTCAACGAACACTCGCTGGAGCGCTACCTGCACACGCTCCTGGCTGACCGCGGCAGGCTCAGGTACCTGGAGCGGGTGGCGCCGCAGGGTCAGCCTCACACAGCGTGGAGTCCAGGAGCTGGGGTTTGCCTTCTCTTCCCTCCTTCTGGGGCCAGTGGGTTCTCCTCCTGCAGCCCTTGTCTGTCCTGCTGTGCTGTGGCCCCAGTTGGGCTAGGGGGTGGACAAACGAGTGCAGGGCTCAGCCTGGCACCCGCACTTATTATTCAGGCCTGGCGCTGTTGTCCTAGATACCATCTGCTCTACACTTTGTGGAATTAATTTGGAACTTTTGCATTCATTCAATCTCACCCTGATGGAAAAATCAAGTAAAAAAAAAATCAAGGTTGAGGTTAGGGAAAGAAGTTGTCAGTATTTATCAGAAACTCTGTTTTTCTGTTGGTGATCTACAAGAGGTCCACTGCTTCTGTTACCATAGGTCAGGTGATGCTGCAATGGCAAACACCACAAAAACCTCAGAGGCTTGGAAGAGCCAAGTTCATGTCTACCGTGGATAGGCAGGGACTCTCATCTCCAGGAGCCAGGCTGCCCCGAGCCTGCATCTCCATCTGTGCTGTCGTGATTGCCAACTTGGGAAAAGAGACAGAGTCGAACTAAGGGCCGGCTGTCGGAACTTCGCCTTCAGTGGCTCTTGCACTCAATGTCTCCGTGGCTGGTGCAGGTCACACAGGCACAGCCGTGCTTAGTGGGGTGGGTATGTGGTTGACCATAGCTATGGGGAGACGGCCCCAGGTGTCACCCTCTTTCCCTGAAAAGGAGTTGTAAGTGCCGGAACCCAGGGGGAGGAAATTGAATCACTCCTCATTTATGCCGAGATGCCTGCTGGCATGCTGGCGTTTCCACTGTCATTTTCCCTGTCCTGAGGATGTCGGTGATCTTGTCTGTGTGGACTCTGGCTTCTGAGAATGGTGGACTAGGCATGCTGTTGTGTGTTGCCAGATGATACAAAGGGACAGTGGCCTCTCCTGCCCGGGTGCCCTGAATACCTTCCACATCAGCGGTGCCCAAGTCCTCAGCAGTGACATTCCGCTTCATTCCGCAAGCCGGCTTTCCATCGGCACTCGGTGCAGCCTCTGGATTTCCTACTTGGCCACGTGTTCCCTGCTTGCCTTTGCTGCTGTGATTGGTCCCCTCAATCCAGTAGCAGGTGTTCCAGGACTGTGCGTCAGGGCTCTCACAAATACCTTTGAAATTCTGTGTTACCAGTTGTGCGATGAGACCACGTGGGTCTGAAATGGGAAGGCCAGGCCCAGGACACCTGCCTCTGACTTGCCTGTGTGCTGCTTGTGATCAGATGAGAGGCTGGGAATGTCCAAGCACTAACTAGCTGTAGTTAGCAAAACAAACATATTCATGTTTTTTAAAATACATTTTTTGGGGGGTAAAACTCCACCTGGCAGATTTTGTGCAGTTAGTTCAGAGTTGCATGCTTGGCACCCAAGTTGCATTTAACAGTGGGAAGTTGATATGGATCCAGTTCGTAAGAGTCACAGTTGGACTTAGCTGGTCACTTCGTTACTCTCTGGGAAAGCCACAAGCATTTACACACGTGAAAACTGGCCGTGACTTTGCAGGGGTCACAGTGTAGGGATCAGAGGAGCAGTTGCAATGCCAGCTTGAATGTAGGGCTTGTGCTTTCCCCAGCACTGCCGTGGAAGTGCCCTAGAAAGGAGCCGGCTTCAGTCGCTTCAGCTGATGTTTCCAGTCGCCCACTGAACCGCAGATGATGCGTCGCTCGCTGGACTGCGGGGAAGCTGAGTTTCAACTGCATCAGTTTAGAGTTCTGCGACCTGGGTGGTGGAGAAATCGTGGCACTAAGCATGTTAGGTTGTTCCGTGTTTACAGTCTTACGCAGAGCTTGGACAGTGGACCAGAGAGACCTGTTTTAAGCCCTGACTATTCCATGTATTGGCCAGACGATTTTGTTCAGGCTCTTTGGGCTTCTGAGACCGACCAACCCCAACATGGAATCATGGGGCCTTTTTAGCTTCTCAGTCCTTTCTAGGGATTGCTTGGGCTGCTGAATCTGCAACCCAAGCAGGTGTTGTAAGTAAATACTCTGATAGAGACATGGCTCTTCGTAATTTCTTCCTGATACTGTCCCTTGTATGAGCCAAATCAGGAGTTGGCTAGCCTAGATTTTCTGTCTGTCTCCAGGGGACAGGACTGGGGTGGAAGTCACCCCTTTGTCTGTTGTCTTCTGCTTAGCTGCTTTTTTGCATTTACATGGGTCTATTTTAGTACTCTAAAGCTGGGGTGTCAGGGGACCAGAGAGGAAGTCATAGGATGTATGTATGTATTCAGGTTTTGTTTATAGCCAGAAGCTTAAGACCAGCAGAGACCTCAGACACACCGCGCTCTCTCTGGGTGACCAGACTCAGGTTTCCAGAGAGCCATCTAAGGAACTTGTTGGCTCAAGGACCTAGAGACCCACTGTTAAGGACTTTTCCATCTCTCTCTCAATTGCAGCACTTTTTATGAAGACTGGTCTTTTGTGATGGATGAAGAAAGATCTAGCATGCTTCCAACCATGGCAGCTGGTAAGATTGGCCCAGGCTAGGCATTGAGTCCTGGGAAGCTTGGCGAGCAGAGGGGGCTGCTGGGAGTACATTCGCAACCCAAAGGGATGCTGGGATTTCCCCTGTCTTTCACCAACTTACTGGGGCATTTACCTCTGCTTCCTGTGGCGGTATTGAGCACTGGAACTAAGTATTTAGAATTTGATCATCTGACAAGAAAGCGTGGGGTTTACGGATTTTGGTTGTAACTTGGCAGGTGGAATATAAGAAGCTGCTGAATTGGAGACAGGAGGCCTACCCTTGAATCTCGACCCTTCCCCTTGTCAACTGGTGACGAGGGGTGGTTCCTGTGAGGTGGGACTCTGGCTCGCTCAGCAGTTATCTTTGTAGGGCAGTGAGACAGTCATGGGAGAGAAAGGACCACACAAATATTTCTCAACAGAAAGACCCCCGTGTGGTGTTGCTTGGTGGATGTTAAGCTGTTTGCCATTTGACTGTCACTCCAAGTCAGCCGGCTGGGAGCGGGCACCTTGTCTGTTTCTTTGCTTTGTTGCCTCCTTCCATTCTCCCCCTGAAAGTTTATACTAAATCCCACATCCTCAGGGTTACGTCATTCTTGTCCACAGATGAGAGAAAGCGTTGAACCATGATTGCTTTTGTAGACTGTAGGATACCAGTGTAAGCTTTTGCCCAAAATGAGCTTAATGGTGTAATCACTGCACATCTTTTAAAAATATTTATTTATATATTTGAATGGTAGAGTGACAGAGAGGAGAGTCAGAGGGAGAGAGGGAAAGGGCGAGAGAGAAAACGAGAGTGAGTGAGCTCTTCCGTATACTGATTCACTCCCCCAAATGGCCGGGGCCATTCAGGCTGAAGCCAGGAGCCAGTAACTCCATCTGGTCTCCCATGTGAGATGCAGAGGCCCAAGCACTTTGGCCATTTTCTGCTACTTTCTCATGCTCATTACCAGGAAGCTGGATTGGAAGTGGAGCAGCTGGGATTCAAATTGTCTCTCTGATATGGGATGCTGGCAGCTCAAGCAGTGGCTTACTTAACCTGCTGTGCCACAACACCAGGACCCTAAGCAGTGCACATTTTCTATTTAACTTGAGTTATTTAATTAAAAGGTGGAGTTAGAGAGGAAGAGACACAGAGAGAGAATTCTTCCATTCACTGGTTCACTCCCCAGATGACCGCAATGGCCTGAGGCTGGGCCAAGCTAAAGCCAGGAGCCAGGAGCTTCTTCCAGATCTCCCACATGGGTACAGGGGCTCAAGCACTTGGGCCATCCTCTGCTGCTTTCCCAGACACATTAGCAAGGAGCTGGATTGGAAGTGGAGTGACTTGGACTCAAACGGATGCTCACATGGGATTCCGGTGTCACAGTGGGTGGCTTAACCTGCTACATCGCAACACCAGCCCCATCAGTGCACGTTTGTGATAGTTTATGGAGCTGAGTGATTTTGGTGGGTGACTGTCTTTAATATTTAAAATCCGTTGAGGAAGGTGGATTGTCTCCATTTTATAGATAAGGGAGTTGAAACTGAGAGAGATTACAAGTTACTTGAAGGTCTCAGAGCTGTTACATGGAGGAGCTGGACTCCAGGCCCGGCAGCCTGACCTCAGGGCTGGTGCCTTCCTCCACTTCTCCTGGTAGTAATTGTTTTCCTGGCCGTTAGGGAGAGAATCTAAAAGACTCGATTCCCGTGATACTGGTGTCTGCTGACCTCCGTTTTGTGGAAGGGTCTTAGAAGTGTTTGAGAGGAGTGCTCCAGGTTTTCCCCTTTCTCTGGGCAGGTCTGAACTCCATCCTCTTCGCCATTAACATCGACAACAAGGATCTGAACGGGCAGAGTAAGTTTGCTCCCACCGTGTCAGACCTCTTGAAGGAGTCCACGCAGAACATGACCTCTTTGCTGAAGGAGTCCACGCAGGGGGTGAGCAGCCTTCTCAGGGAGATCACGGCCTCCTCCGCTGTGTCGATCCTCATCCGACCCGAGCAGGAGACCGACCCACTGCCTGTCGTGTGCAGGAGCGTCAGCGCTGGTGAGCGAGAATGGGCGGGGAAAAGGAGACAGTGGACACAAGGGGGCACACTTGGTCACTCCAAGGGGGTGAAGTCTCTGGCGCTCGCTTTCCTGGCTCGTGTTCATGTTGGTTTTGCCAACCCTCATGCATGCCAGAGGGATGGGCAGCCTGGCTTTGATGGGCAGACAGTGGAGTAGGAAGCCGGCGGCTCAGTGGGAGCGTGGGGGCGGCAAGGCTGCGGTGACCACAGTAGCCACAGTGGCTGAGTTCTTTTCTTCCTGCCTCCCTCAGATGGGCTGGCGTAGATGCCTTTCTTCTGCATCCTTTTACCTGCTTGTACCAGGGTCACATTCTGTGTGCCAGGCTGATGGACAGTGCTTACCACTTCACATCCTTTGCCATGGCCAGGGGTACATAGTTGGTGAATGTTTTAGACATCATTGGTTATCCTTGTGCTTAATGGGATGAAGGCCATGCATAGGGTGCTGCTGGCTTGCCTTTGTTGGGGAGATAATATTTAAATGGAAGCTTGAGGGAAGAGAGGAGTTTGTCAGCGTTAACTCAAGGCTGGGGGGAGGCAGAAGAAAGTTGATTCCTTGAGACTACTTTTGCAAGAAGCTTCCAGTACCCCTAGACTGTTCACAGGCATGAGGATCTTACTATAGCAAAAACTGGAATTTTGGTTTTAGGTACTTAGTCCCAGTATTCCCAAATCCATCAAACAAGCAGTGTTCCTGTTTGTCCTTTGGAAGGAGTAGAGGTAGTGAAGACAGAATCCCATGGCTTCCTGGGTGCACAGTGACTTTCGGTCATGCCTTGTGCTTCTCCAGCAGGTCTCGTGCAGATGATGTAGGGTAATGAACTGTTGAGGGCTTTGTGTGAGAGACTCCGAAGCTCGTATCCCCGAAGGAGGATCAGTCCCATCTGTTTCTGAAAAATTGCTTTTTAAAGTTTCTTTTTAAAAAAAATTTATTTGAAAGGCAGAGTGAAAGGGAGAGAGATATTCCAGTCTCTGAAGTAACCGGGGATGGGTTAGGCTGAAGCCAGGAGGCAGGACTTTGATCTGAGTTTGATCTGGTGTCATAGGTAAGTGGCAGGGACCCAAGCACTTGAGCTATCACCTGCTGCCTCCCAGGGTGTGCAGAGGCTCCATGAGCCCAGCATTATTAATCCCCTGCAGGGCGATGCCTCATGACCCAAATATCTTGTGCTGGCTTCTCCTTTGCAAGGTTGTACCCCCTGGACGCTGCCACACTGGTGGTCAGGCTTCCGGAGCTGCAGTGAGGCCCTAACCACACCACGCCTTGGCTTAGACAGGTTGAGTGTTTTGGAGTTGGCCTCACGTGTCACACCTCCAAGTTTGAGGATTTCTGTCAGGCAAGCAGAGGGCTCAGCTTAGCCCTGATCCCCACGGCCGCCCTGCTTTCTGAGCCAGCCAACCTTTGCCGTGTGAGAGACAGCTCTAACTTGTAGTGGCTTCCAGTGCCCACAGTTCATTGTTTTGATGTTGTGAGGGGGGTGGTTCTTCTGCTGGTCTCCCCCGGACTTGCTCTGGGGCTGCTTCAAGCAGGTGGCTGGCTTGGAGGATGCAAGATGGCACCACTCAGGTGTCTCGGATTGGTGCTGGGGTCTCTGAGTTCCTTACGATTCCTTCAGTGAGGCAGACAGCGCCTGTTTTCACTGGTACTGTCAGGGCACAGGCTCTGAGACCATTTCATGCCTGGGTCTAGAACTCATTGTTACCTCTGCCACTTTGTAGAGGGAAGGGCAGAGCCCAGAGCAGCCCAGGTACAAGGGGGTGCAGAAGTGGACTCTGCTGCAGATCGGGAGGGCAGCACAGTCCCGTTGGAGAGGGTGTGAGGAGTTGGTGGCCACTGACCAGTCCACTGCAACTCGCACACTGATTTTCCTGGTCTCACCTGCCAGCCTTGAGAATATTTTCTGAGTGAAACAATGGAAATCATTTCAGTAATGGTAGTGTGCGCATCACGTGACAGCTTAGAAAGGACACTTTGAACGCTCACTGTATGAGATGTTTAAGCCAGAGGTGGAAGTCCACATCCGTTTTGCTCACTCTTCTGTAGTCAGATTTTTTCCACACGGACTGAAGGATAATCTGAGTTCATCTTAATATTTACTTATTAGCAGAATGGTGGAGTCTCCTTCAGAGCCAAGAAGGGATTGGCTTGGTCATCCTGTTGGGGTGACTTTCGATTCTCACATGTTTTCTTTTTTTTGCCAGATGCCAGGAGTAAAAAGGAGAGGAAGAAGAAAAAGAAGGTGACCAACATTATCTCGTTTGATGATGAGGAAGATGAGCAGAACTCTGGGGACGTTTTTAAAAAGATTCCTGGGGCAGGGGAGAGCTCCGAGGAGAACTCCGACCGCTCCTCGATCAACATCATGTCCGCCTTTGAAAGCCCCTTTGGGCCAAACTCCAATGGGAGCCAGAGCAGCAGCTCATGGAAAATCGACTCTGTGTCTCTGAATGGGGAGTTCGGGTACCAGAAGCTCGACGTGAAAAGCATCGATGATGAAGACGCGGACGACAACGAGGACGACGTGTACGCAAACTCATCCGGGAGGAAGCGCGCCAGCCACTCGGAGTCGCCTGAGAAGTACGTTCCAGTCCCGCTTTTAACCATGGAGTTGCGTGAACCGCGGTTTCTCTCTAGCACAGTGGCGGGATCAGAGTGCGAGGTGGCGGTGGTGGGCTTGTTGACTTTCCAGCTCTTGATGTAGGAGGGAGGGCCGTCAGCTTGCTGTTCTCCTGAAACCCGAGGGCGGGGAAGGAGGGCACGTGCAGACACCCACCAGGAAGTTCGTGTCCAGATGTGTGCTTGAGGTTCTGGGTTCGTCCCTCACACCACCTGTTGCCAGGGCCTGGATTTTTTTTTTTTTTTTTTAAGATTTATTTATTTGAAAGTCAGAATTACACTGAAAGAGAAGGAGAGGTAGAGAGGTGGAGAGAGGTCTTCCATCCATTGGTTTACTCCCCAGTTGGCTGCAACAGCCAGAGCTGGGCCAAACTGAGGCCAGGAGCCCGGAGCTTCTTCCGGGTCTCCCATGTGGGTGCAGGGGCCCAAGGACTTAGGCCATCTTCTGCTGCTTTCCCAGGTAAGATGGAATGGAAGTGGAGCAGCCAGGACTTGAACTGGCACTCATACGGGATGCTGGCACTGCAGGCAGTGGCTTTACCTGCTACGCCACAGCACTGGCCCCAAGGGCCTGGGTTTTTCTGCATCTCTTGCTTGCTGTGAGCACAGGATGCTCAGGAGGAAGGCAGGGTTAGTTTTTGTGTGTGTCTGTACGAGCTGAACTGTAGTAACTCAAGTGCAGTTGCTGCCTTGGCATCCCATTGCTGTGGACTTATGCTTGTGGAAGGGGCTTGTTGCAGGTGTAGGCCTAAAGTGGAAAAGTGCATTCCTAACAAACTTGGATCCTGCAGTGAAGACCACCTGGGCCTGTTTTAACTCCCCATGTGGCTTAAGGTGGACAAGTCCTTCCCCTCCCAGCCTGTTAGCCTCCTGGGAGACCTGGGCAGATGGCAGCACCTGCTTGTGGGTTGTTGCTGAGTTAAGGAGGTCATCGCAGGTCGGATCTTTGTCCCACGTGCTCATGGAGGAAGGCCACAGAGGTCAGCTGTGGCAGTTGTCACACACTCGTGTCACGATCCTCAGGCTTGTTCTGATTGCTGGGTAAACCACTGGCTTCCTCACTGAGACTTCAGAGCGCCCGGGGCATCAGTTGCACTATGGAAACGGATTCTCTGTATGACCGAAACCTCACGGTGGTGTTAAGGCGCCCAGTTATATCGCTAGCTGATGAGACAGTGTCTGCCTTGGCTGCTTTGACTCTAGTCCTCACTCGCACGGATACTCCTGTCAGCAGTGGTACCTTACTGAGCATCTGTGAGATGCCACGTGCTGCAAGGTACTTCACACACCTCCCAGGAGGATAGCCGCCCTGCCCTCCTGGGAAGGAGACATCAGGATTCCATGGAGAGTTGAGATTGTGCAAAGCCATTGGTGAAGCTGGGATTTAGGTTCAGACATGCTGTGCTCTGAAGCTTATCTGAAGTATTTCCCACGTCCCTATATAATTATGTGGGTGTTAACATGATGGTTACTTTTGTGTGTTCACTTTGATGTGGTGTGACTAGGTAGCTAGTTTAGGTCTGAATGAACTAGAAGTCCCTGCATGCCACAATGTAATAATGTTACCCTTTTATCTGTCAATCAAAATGCTCCCTTTCCCAGGATGCATCTGTTTTATCTGGGACTTGGCAAAGGGGAGGGGAGCACCCTAAAAATATGGATGTGAAGCTCCATGTAGAGTTTATGGAGATATCGTGCCTTCATGCACGTAGGGGCACCACCCCCTACCTCACACGCGCGTGTCCTCCCTCTCTCCCTCCTTCTCTCTCCCTTTCTCCCTCTCCCTCTCCCTCCCCCACCCCCATCTTTGTCCCTGACTCTGTCCCTGTCCCCCTCTCTCACCTCCCCCTTCCTTCATTTGGGCAGTCCATGTGGGGCATCCCACACTCGTGTGTGTGTGTGTGTGTGTGTGTGTGCATTTTCTCACCTTTGCAGTGTATCTTGTTACAACTTTGTGCACCTTATACATGTCTCAACCTAGAATGCGTATCTTTGCATGAGACAGGGACCTGGAAAGAAGAGAATATGCATGTGCCCACAACAACGTGACTGGGTGTTGGGGTGCCAGTGTGAAGCGCTGTTTCTGGATGTGTCTGGGGTGACGTTTCCTGGGGAGCTCAGTGTTTGAATTGATGGGTTTAGTAAAGTAGACGCCTTCCCCAGTGTGGTCAGGCATCGTCCAATCTGCTGCAGCCTGAAAAAAAAAATAACCCAGGAAAGGAGTGATCATTGCTTTTCTGCCTGTAGCTTCAGCTGGGATGTTGGTCTTGACTTACCCTTGTCTAGGAGTCACACCCATCATGTGCTGTCCTGATGCTCAGACCCCAGACCCACACTGAAGTGCACTGCCAGCTCCCCTGGGGCTCCAGCTTTTAGAGATGTGGGGCGTCTCAGTACAAATCCATCTGTCTGTCTGTCTGTCTGTCTAGCTCTCTATCTACCTCTTTGTTTTTTAAAGAATTTTTTTTTAAATTTTATTTATTTGAAAGAGTTACACAGAGAGAGAAGGAGAGGCAGAGAGAGAGAGGGAGAGAGAGAGGTCTTCCATCTGCTGGTTCACTCCCCAGTTGGCTGCAACAGCCAAAGCTGCACTGCTCTGAAGCCAGGAGCCAGGAGATTCCTCTGGATCTCCCACGTGGGTGCAGGGGCCCAAGGACTTGGGCCATCTTCCACTGCTTTCCCAGGCCACAGCAGAGAGCTGGATTGGAAGTAGAGCAGCTGGGTCTCAAACCGGCGCCCATATGGGATGCTGGCACCACAGGTGGCAGCTTTACCTTCTACGCCACAGCGCTGGCCCCTATCTACCTCTATCTATCATCCCTCTTTCTCTCTCTCCACCTCTATCATCTATCTATATCTATCTGTCTGTCTGTCTCATCTCTCTATCTCTGTGCCTGCCCTGGTTGATTCCTTTCCCTTGCAGCACTCTAACGTAGTTGCTGTTCACGGAGAGCCAAAGGTTTCTCCTGTGGTTGAGTGGCTTAGCTTGTTGGAATTTCTTTTTGTTGGTTTTTGCTTTTTTGTTGCCAGCCCTTCTGAAATGAAGATTTCCTTGCACAAGCCTGTTTTTCTACTCCTGAACTATGTGTTAGGTTACTTTTTCTTGCTTGTAGGGTGTGAATGTTTATGAATGTCAGCTCCAAGGCTTGTGACCTGCGGCATTAGTCATGGTTCTCTAGAGACACAGAATTGAGTGAGTGTGTGTGTGTGTGTGTGTGCGCGCGCACGTGCACGTGTGCCCCCTTCTCTCTTTCTTGCTATCATTCTGCCTTTACTTCCATGTTTGTTTCTGTCACTCCCCCCACCCCGTCCTGATTATTTAAGAAGATTTACTTATTTATTTGAAAGGCAGAATGACCGAGAGGGAGACGGAGAGGGAGACGGAGAGGGAGACGGAGAGGGAGACGGAGAGGGAGAAAATTTTCCATCCACTGGCTCACTACCAAAATGGCTGCAATGGCCAGGTCTGGACCAGGCCGAAGCCAGGAGCCAGGAGCTTCATCTGGGTCTCCCACATGGGTGCAGGGTCCCAAGCACTTGGGCTGTCTTCAGCTGCTTTCCCAGGCCCATTAGCAGGGAGATGGGTCAGAAATGGAAGAGATGGGACTCTAACTGGAGCCCATAGAGGTTACTGGTGTCGTAGGTGGTAGCTTAGCCCCCTGAGCCACAATGCCGGCCTGTCTTGATTGATTCTAAGGAATTGGCTTATGTGAGTGTGAAGGCCTACATGTTCAAAAGCTGCAGAGACCAGGGAAGAGCTGCAGGTCAGGTCCACAGGCGGATGGCTGGCAGAGTCCTTCATGCTCTGAGGGGTCAGCCTCTTCCTATTGAGGCCATCTGCAGGTGTGGCTTGCCCAAATCTTGTGGGGTTTTCTGCTTTACTCAGAACACTACTGATTTCAACATTAGTCTCACCTGAAAACAGCCTTACAGAAACGTCTGGAATGGTGTGGACCAAATATCTGGGTCCCATGGTGCAGGCCAGACAGTTAACCACCCAGCTGCCGTTAGTGCTTAGTCTAGGCCTGTGGGGAAATCCCCACCTGGATTCTCTGGCTCTGTAGAGAAGTCTCTCAGGGGTATCACCCATGGCTCCGTGGCCTCAACACAGTCATTCTTCTCCTGGCCTGCTGGTGTCACTCAGTGGAGCCTGGAGGGGGTGATCACCAGCATTGTGATGTGTAAAAGCACAGAACAGTGCAGGGTGGCCTGCATGGCCTGGGCCCACCACGGCCATGGGGCCTTCCTGGGACTGTGGACGGCCTCGCTCTGGCATAGGGGGATCCTGATTGAACAATCTGCAGAGCGAGCCGGGGAAGAGCCGTGGAACGAGGTGGCCTACTGAGTGATACCTTGGTTCTGATTCTCAGCTCAGGGTCATGGGAAAGGCCCAGGGCCTGCAGTGCACAGGGCGTGGGGGCCATGGCCAGGCCAGGGCAGCTCAGTGTGGTCGGCCATGGCCTCTGGCTAACTTGGGGGCACTGTTGTCTTTCATGTGATCTGTTGGCTAAAAGTAGGCTTACTCCTCTGTGTACCAATGATGAAATCCTTCTTTGATGGCCAAGGAAACCTCTTGTCCCTCCTGCCTCAATAGTAGCCACATTATCTTTGCCTTTTGTTTTCTGAGTGTATTTTTCAAAGGGTATAATGTTTTTATTATAGAAAGTTCTTTTTTTTTAAAGATTTCACTTATTTATTTGAGAGGTAGAGTTATAGACAGAGAGAGGGGGAGACAGAGAGAGAAAGGTCTTCCATCTGCTGGTTCACTCCCCAAATGGCCACAACAGCTGGAGCAGGGCCATCTGAAGCCAGGAGCCAGCAGGTTCTTCCAGGTTTCTCAGATGGGTGCAGGGGACCCAAGTGCTTGGGCCACCTTCTACTGCTTTCCTAGGCCATAGCAGAGAGCTAGATCAGAAGAGGAGAGGCCAGGACATGAACCAGTGCCCTTATGGGATGCCAGTGCCACAGCAGAGGCTTAGCCTACTGTACCACAGCACTGGCCCCAGAAAGTTTTTTTTTTTTTTACTATCACTTTTTGTGTGTTCTATAACAAAAGAATTAAAATATGCAAAAAATTGCATTTCACTAGCAATTAAGCAAGTGAAAAGTGAAACAAGACACCATATTTTCTCATCATAGTTGCCAAGATTTATTTAATAAAAAATAAAATTTATTTCCAGGGCACAGAAAGAAAGGGGGTTGGGAGGCAGTGAGGGAGAGATGTATATAGAGAGAACGAGGATGCTGCCATCTGCTGGTTCACTCCCCAAGTGCCTGCCATTGCCAGGGCTGCGCAAGGCTGAAGCCAGGATCCAGGGACTCAGTCTAGGTCTCCCACATGGGTGGCAAGATCCTAGTACTTGAGCAATTACCTACTATCACCCAGCGTGTTAGCAGGAAGCTGGAATTGGGAGTGGAACTGGAACTTGAACCCAGACACTCCGATGTGGGATATGGGCATCAGGACCCAACCGCTATGCCAAACCACTGCCTCTGCCAAGATCTGAAAGTCGAGCAGGGAAAAGGTGGATCCTGGCTTAGCACCCTGGTGGAAGCGTGCAGGGTGGGCAGGCTTGTCCCCAGGGGGTCCTCAGGTCCAGGCACGCAGCAGGTTTCAGTCTGTGGGAAGAATGAGCTGGCGTAGAGGGCCGTGCATGGGGACTGTCCTCACAGCTGCCAGCACTTGGCAGCCCTGGGGGAAGACAGTTTGACAGACTGTCGGGAGCTGGAAAGTGTTGATCCTGCTTGATTGAGCACTGGCACTGCTGAGAACCTGCCCTGAGGACATACTCGGCTCTGGAAACCAAACCTCATTGAGAGAAGCTACGCCCTGGGGCTGAGGTGGCAACCACAGGTGAACAGCAGCGGAACACTTTGTGGTTCAAGCCTGGCACCTTCATGTTAACGGTCTCAAACATGTCTTTAAATTTTTTTGTATTGATGTGAGAGACAGACCAAGAGCTCCTGTCGACCGGTTCACTCTCAAAATGCCTGCAATGGCCAGGACTGGGCTGAGCTGAAGGCAGGAGCCAGGAGCTCATCCAGGTCTCCCAAGTGGGTGGCAGACATTCACGCCATGAGCCTGCTGCTGCCTCCCAGGATCTGCATGGCAGGAAGCTGGAATCAGGAGCCAGAACTTGCAACTGAGCCCAAGCACATGATGTGGGATGCCGTGTCCCAACCAGCGGCTTAACCACTGGGCCGCGTGTGCTCCCCTAGGATTGTGAACATCGCAAAGTGATGTTTGAAGAGTCCCCAGTAGTATGAAAATGAACTGAGAGTTACTATTAAGTGGTGAATACAAGATGGAAAGTTCTGTGTTGACTTTGATTACATCCGTGTGAATGCAAGTGTACACAGCAACAGAAGAAAGAAGTGCACGCGTCGGCCTCTCAGCTGGTGTATTCTGGGTAATGTGACTGTGGCCGGGTTTTCTTGCCCCCTCATCTTTTTGGCGTTGTCCAGGTGATAAAATACGTGTCATACTGTTCGGGTGACTAGCAGCCGTCCTTGGTATTTTTCCTGCCATCACAGTGCCGTATTCTGAGGCCATCTCTGTATTGCCAGTCGCTTTGGGATCACTTACTCCCTTCAAGGCAGTGGACTTTGGGGGCCCACTTGTGCTTGGGCAGGGAGACTTATCCTGTGGTGGCCTGGTGTCCCTGGAGTCGCACCTGTCACTGGGAAGCAGGAAGAGTTGTCTTAGAAACAAGCAGAATGGCCTGGGCTTCGACTGGCTGTTTTTGCCGGTTTCTGAAAGGGCACCCCTGGCCGCCTCTGGGCACTGGTCCCCCTTGGTCCCCAGCTGCTAGTTCAGAGCCTCAGGGTGCCACAGGCCCCACCATGTCTGCTGAAGACTCCACCCACGCTGGGCTCTGCTGCCAGGGCACAGGTGAAAGCAGCTGTCTTGGGCCCCCACAGTGCAGTCTGGGAGTCCCTTTGCAGGACCCGCAGAATTAAATGATAAAATTGGCAAAATTCTGTTAGTCCTATATTTCCTGCTGGGTGCTCAATGGCCGAAAGCTGGTCCCAGATGCAGGACAAGCCAGTCCGCCCCCAACGTAGGAATGGTGGTTACATTTTCAAGGGCTGCAGAGAAACACCAACAAAGAAGAGCATGCCACAAGCCTGAAATATTTCCTGTTGGACCCTTTGCAGAGAAGAGCCATCCGTGTAATGCCACGTGGTTGGTCGGAGGCGGGAGGGCCGCCATGATGATTGGGAGACCAGAGCTCGAATCCTGCAGCCTTGGTTCTGAGGACCAGCTCATCATCAGCTGAGCTTCCTTTCCCTCCCTCCTTGCCTTTCCGGTTCCCTGTCCCCCTGTTTCCTTCCTCTGTGGAGCAGGTAGGACTGTGGTACCCGAGGCTGTCTTCAGTGAGAGGCAGGGTGACTTTGTTAGTGTTTCCTGGTTGCTCAGAGGCCGATGCGCCAGCCTGGCGCTGCAAAGATCGCGCGAGTTGCTGTTGTACTTTGAGGATCAGATGTTACGAGTTTGGTTAATACTTGAGCTGACTCCCTCTGTTGGAAGGGACCCCGGCTTGACCTGGTCTCACTCTGTCCTTTTACCCGCGAGGGACTGGCAGCCAGTGAAGCAAAGCAGCTCCAGGTCAGGTCATGGGGCTGCTGTCCCTTCTTGACCTGCAGCACGTGCACCTGCTCCCGCTTCAGCATTTCACACGCGTCGCTCCCTCCCCGCCAGTCCCCCAGCCCTGGGCCCCTCTTCACTGCAGTGCCTCGGCTCCCTTCAGCTCTCTCGGGTCTCCCTTCCTCAAGGCAGCCAGCCTCCCACGGTTGTCCCGCAGCCCCGTGAGTCCAGCTGTCACTCCACACCTTTTTGTGGGATTTCTGTCTGCATGCTTCAGGAAGGCAGGATGGACACAGTTTGCAGGCTCTTCTTCTCCCAGTGGTGAACGCAGTGGGGCTTCCAGCTGGTGCTGGGGAAGATTAGATGCCAGGGCTCTGAACCTGGTCTGCGTGCTCCCCCTGCCAGTCCTCACCTTTCTTTTTCAGCCCCATCCTGGCCTGATCAGTTCCCAGGAGGGCACTGGTGGAGGCCCAGCGGGTCTCGCGGTGAGTCCTGAGCCCTCGGCCCTTGGCGCTGTCACACAGCTGTGTTCTTTGCCCTTAGGCCCCTGGATGGGAACGGCTGCCTCTCCCAGATGCACGGCTGGGCTCCACTCCAAGTGCTGCACGGTGATGCCGACGTCCTCTTCCCGGTCAGCGGCGTGGGCTCCTACAGCCCAGCAGGTGGGTGTTTCCTGACCATTGCTTTCCTGCAGTGAGAGCGCTGGCTGCCAGAACCAGCAGGGGTGCCTGAGTTACCTGTCCCAGGTAGGAAGGGGACAGGAGGCCCGGGGCTCCAGCAGGAGGGGCTTGCTGAGCTGCACAGGTGAGCCAGGCTTGGCTTCTCAGAACCTGGGTGTCTGGGTGCTCTTGGCTGAGAGAGGGCAGGCAGAGCTGGCTCAGGGCCCCTAGGAAGCCCCTGCCTGGTTCTTCTCCCCTTGACGGTGGCTGTTTGAACTTGGCCGGGTAGAAGTCGACCACAAGTAGCAGCCATCCTTTCGCCTGTTGGGAGCTGTAAGCAGGTGGCTGAACCCCAGCCCGTAAGGCCCTGGTCTTGTGCAGACTGGAGCAGTGCTGGGGTCAGCATCAGCCCGGGAAAGCTGCCTTTGGTCACTGTGAGTGTTTCTGTGCCACTTCACTTGGGGGAGGGCACTGTGTGTGGTTTGTTACTGTTGTCTTTGTCTAGAGCAGGTCACGGGAGGGAGGGCGCGGATGGGCGTGCAGGGAAGTGCCCCTTCCTCTGCGCACAGAAGCACGCCAGTGCCACCGAGGCCCTGGCCCCACTGAGTCCCCCTTCTCCAGTAGGGCCCCGCAGCTGCGCAGGAGACTGTTGAAATTGGAGCTGGCCGTCAGGCTGTTCTGTCACTCAGCTGAGAGCAGAAGCCCCCACTCAACACAGCTCAGACAGAGACGAGGAGGGACATAGCCGGGTCCCACCCAGTATTGGTTCTAGAATGTTCCGTATGAACGAGCATGAGTTCCCGCTCTGAGCATCTGCATCGCCGGCTGTCAGAGGAGGCCTCTGTGTCTGTCAGCATTGGCTGGCTTACCAGATGAGTTGTGGTTATTGCTGCCTCTCAGTGTGTGGTGGTCACCCACCCTGGACTCAAGGTGTCTCCCCTGGCTCTGTGAGGCCACGCTAAGGAGGCGGTGCTGTGACAGCAGGCGCGTGGGCTCAGGAGCCGGGGTGGTGAGGTGCTGCTGGCCTCCTGGCTTGTCCTGTACATGCCGCTGTGAGCGCTGCCCTCTCTCCCCTCTCAGCTTGAACTTGGCTGAGGTGCCAGGGCCACGGCCTCAGCCACGCCAGCTTCTGGAGCAGCTGCAGCTTCTTCCTGGGTCTCTGCTGAAGTCTCCAGGGGGAGGGGGAGGCAGCCTGGTGGGCTTCACTGGTGTGTGCAGCTGGGATGCCAAGTCCTGTGTCTCCCCGGGGCACCCTTGCTCCACGTGCCCCCCGCCCCCCATTCAGCGTAGCCGCAGGCAGGGTGTCTGAGGAGGGGTGGGCTTGCAGAGTGCCGGGACGCCCAGCGTGCGTCCGCGGCCTCCAGCGCATGATTCAGCTCCTCACCTTGTCTTGTGCTCCGCCGAGGGGACCTTGCTGTTTGGTTTGTGAATGATTGCTGAGCTTGGAGGCGCGAGCGGCAGGCAGGCTGCTGTGTCTCACGTGGCTCCCTTGTGTCTGGCCGGGGCTCCTGCAGACCATCAGAACTTCGGGGCCGTCGGGGGCTGCGCCTGGGGCCTTGCTGTCTGCCGTTCATGGTGTGATGAGGTGGGTGCCCGTGGAACCCAGTGTCCTCCCGCTCTGTGTGCTCCACAGCTAGAGCTTGGGAGAGGGGAAGGGGGAGGAAGGGAACCCTGAAAGGCACGGGCATCCCAGGTCCGGCAGAGGCGGCCCGGTGGGGTAGGGACTTCCCTGGAGCTGCGTCTCCTGGGTTAGGGAGTGACTCAGAGGGGAGGCACAGCCCAGGGCCCCAGCACAGCCCCCAGTTGAGGAGCTGCAGGCTTGGGCACAGCACGTGTCTGCTGTGGCGTGGCTGTTGTCCTCAGAGGGGCTGAGTGTGTCGTAAGTGCCCAGCCGGTTTCTGAGGACTTCCTTAGGTCTGTTCGTAGCCTGAGTCTCAGACTTCCTTCTCCCCAGCAAGTGTCAGGTTCTTGCACTTCTCCACAACCTGACCTCGGGTCTGGGGTTGCAGCGCTGCTGGGATCTGATTGCTGACTCTGGAGTGTCGAGACCTGTGGTGGCTGGCGGGGCACTGCGCTGAGTGTGAGTCTAAGTGCATTCACACAGGGTTGATGGTTTTGTTCTTGTCACGATCCAGTGTTCCTGCTCTTTTTTTTTTTTTTTTTTTTTTTTTAAAGATTTTATTTATTTGAGACGTAGAGTCACAGAAAGGTCTTCCAACCACTGGTTCACTGCCCAGATGGCCGCAATGACCAGAGCTGGCTGATCCAAAGCCAGGAACCAGGAGCTTTTTCCAGGTCTCCCATGCAGGTGTAGGGGCCCAAGAACTTAGGCCATCTTCTACTGCTTTCCCAGGGTGCTTTAGCAGGGAGACGGATTGGAAGTAGAGCAGTCAGGACACGAAATGGTTGGCATATGGGATGCAGACATCATAGGTGGCAGCTTTGTCCGCTACATCATAGCGCCAGCCCATCATTGTCAACTCTTGCCTAGGCCATTGCAAAGTAAATATTTTTTAAAGATTCATTTATTTGTTTGGAAGTTGGAGTTAAACACAGAGAGAGGGAGAGGCAGAGAGAGAGAGAGATCTTCTATCCGTCTGTTCACTCCCCAATTGGTTGCAACAGCTGGAGCTGCACCAATCTGAAGCCGGAGCTTCTTCCAGGTCTCCCACATGGGTGCAGGGGCCCAAGGACTTGGGCCGTCTTCTTTCTCAGGCCATAGCAGAGAGCTGGATCAGAAGTGGAGCAGCCAGGACTTGACCCAGCGCCCATATGGGATGCCGGCACTGCAGGCAGTGGCTTTACCTGCTACGCCACGGTGCCAGTCCTGCAAAGTAGATTTTTTTTTTTTTTGACAGGCAGAGTGGACAGTGAGAGAGAGAGACAGAGAGAAAGGTCTTCCTTTGCCGTTGGTTCACCCTCCAATGGCCGCCGCGGCTGGCGCACTGCGGCCGGCGCACCGCGCTGATCCGATGGCAGGAGCCAGGAGCCAGGTGCTTTTCCTGGTCTCCCATGGGGTGCAGGGCCCAAGCACCTGGGCCATCCTCCACTGCACTCCCTGGCCACAGCAGAGGGCTGGCCTGGAAGAGGGGCAACCGGGACAGAATCCGGCGCCCCAACCGGGACTAGAACCTGGTGTGCCGGCGCCGCTAGGCGGAGGATTAGCCTAGTGAGCCGCGGCGCCGGCCGCAAAGTAGATTTTTAACCATACTATGTCAGCTTCTACTCTTCTTTTGAAATATTTGTTTGAAAGGCAGAGTGATAAAGGGGGCAGAGAGAGATAGAAAGATCTTCCATCCCAAGTGGTCACAACAGCTAGATCTGGGCCAGGCTGAAGCCAGGAGCCAGGAACTCCATCCAGGTCTCCCACATGGGAGATAGCGGCTCAAGTACTTGGGCTTTCTTCCACTGCTTTTCCAGGAACATGAGGAGGGAACTGAATCAGAAATGGAGCCGCTGAGGCTTGAACTGGTCTCAGGTTCAGTATAACCTGCTGTGCCAGGATGCTGGCTGCATGTTTGTGTTTACTCCTTCCTTCCCTCCTTCCCTCCTTCCCTCCCTCCCTCCCTCCCTCCCTTCCCCTTTCTCCCCTTCTCCCCTTCCCCCTTCTCCCCCTTCCCTTCTTCCCTTCTTCCTTCTTCCACTCCCCTCTCCTCCCCTCCCCTCCCCTCCCCTCTCTCCCCCCCCTTTCTTTCTTTCAAAAAGATTTTATTTATTTATTTAAGAGGTAGAGTTACAGACAGAGAGAGAGAGAGAGAGACAGAGAAAGGTCTTCCATCCACTGGTTCACTCCCCAGTTGGCTGCAACAGCCAGAGCTGTGCTGATCCAAAGCCAGGAGCTTCTTCCAGGTCTCCCACATGAGTGCAGTGGCACAAAGGACTTGGGCTGTCTTCTACTGCTTTCCCAGGCCATAGCAGAGAGCTGGATCAGAAGAGGAGCATCTGGGACTCGAACCAGCACCCATATAGGATGCCAGCGTCGCTGGTGGACGATTAACCTACTGCGCCACAGTGCCGGCCCCCGCATCTGCTGTTGGCTGATGTCTGTCCTCCCTCCCTCCCTAGCTCCCTCCCTCCCTCGTTCCCTCCCTCCTTTCTTTATTAGTCAGCAGCCAGTCCTTCCTTCAGCCATCATTTCAACTGCACCTGGATTGAATTCCAGACTCCCAGAGTGGCCCGCCCTGGGCCCCACCGACACTGCTGGCCTGACTTCCTCCCATTTCCCCTTTGCCTGCTGCCGCAGCGGTGCCAGCTGCTTCCACTTCCTGAAACGGAGCCCCAGCCGGTCTCCGCCTGTTCCTCTGGCTCGTGCAGCCCCAGGGGCTTCCTGCTGCTCCAGTGTTGCCTTCTTGGAGAAGGCTTCTGGGCCCCTCCTGTGAGGGGTCACTCCTGTGTCTCCCACGGCCACAGCGCTGGGTCCGTGTCGTTACCCACTGACCCTGTGCCCCTGCTGGAATGGGAGGGCCACGAGGAGCACGGAACTGGGTCTGTGTCACTTCCAGTGTGGCCCTGGACCTGGCCAGTGCCCGGCCCACAGCTGTGCCTTGGTGAACCCTTGCTGACGGGTGGTTGGATGGGTGCAGTGGGTGCAAGATGCATGTGCTGAAGGGAGTGGACACGTGGCACTGGAAAAATGGTAGTGGGCTAGAAGGCCCGGAGTGGGCAGTGGTGCCAAGGCAGGGGTGCCAGGACGTGCAGAGGGGCTGGGCGAGCGCTCAGCAGTGTGGCCGGACCTGAAGTCCTTGCACGTATCTCTGTGACATGAACCAGTCACCGAAGTCCTCGGGCGTCCTGTCCTCGTGCAGAATGAGGGTAACTGTAGTCCCGGTGCCAGAGAGGCCTTCAGCACAAGTGGGAGGGCTCTGTGCAGCATGGCGCGAGTCGGTCTCCATCCCTGCATTGGGAGGGGCCTGCTAGGAAGTCAGCTGGAGCCGAACCAGCAGCACTCCGATGCCCAGCGGTTGGCTTCATTGCTATGTTCCAGCCAGGGTGTCCATATTGTGCTTTGGCGTCTCTGCCTTTGATTCAGAAAGTGGATTCTGACAGCTGGAGATGAGTTGGATCAGCAGGGATGACCCAGAAACCAGGTTCCCTGCTCTGGAAGGCCCCTGGGGGCAGGGCAGCGCCTGTGTTGCACCTTTGGACCAGGGTGCCATGCGAGGGTACATGGAAAGCTCTGGACGGCAGCTGGCCCTGTGGTGGTGGGGATGGTGGGGTCACGCTGTCCTGAGCTTACATCCCTGGGGATGGAGGGTGTGAGTCGGGCAGGTCTGAGGTCAGGGTGGTCAGTGGGCTCAGCAGGGTGTCCCGGGGGAGCCGTCTCACAAGGAGGGGTGGGGAGCTGGCTGTGGTGAAGCCTTGGCCAGATCTGCCCAGGGAGACAGGGCCATGCGTGGCAGCAAGGTTAGGGAGAGGTGCATCACGCAGGTGCGCTGTGGATGGTGGTGGTGGTGGGGGCAGGCGGGTGCTGAGGGAAGGTCTCTGTGGGTCCCCCGAGAGCAGGCCCAGGTGACCAGGAGGGTGAGAACCTGAAGCGGCCAGCGTCCGTCATGCAGCCGAGTTGAAGTATCACACCTAAGTACGTGGTTGGCGTTTCTAAAGCGTTATATGGCAGACATTACGTCTTCTGTTGTAGCTGAGGGGCAGAGAGGCCCAGAAGCCTGCTCAATCAAAGCTGGGCAGCAGGGAACCGGACCTAAGCAGTAGGGCAGAGCCTGCACCCCTAAGCTAACCAAGGTGGTGGGTAGCATGGAAGGTGGGGGCATAGGCACTTTTAATTTCCCCTACAAATTTCTTGAAAGAATTGAGTGAGTTGGAAAGCAGGCAGAAGAAAAAGTTGAGAAATTTTTTTTTATCCCCTTAAGTTCCCTTAAGTTCAGCCGGTAAGAGCTTGAGCAGTTTTGATGTGGCTCAGCCAGGCCCGAGGGCCATGGCTCAGGGAAGCCGTGGGACGTGCTCCGTCCATCCTTGACACAGGGCACCTCTGCTTCCCTTGTGAGATTTTTTCTTGAATGGGCAGAGGTTCTCTTGGGTAACACTGATCTTAATGTCATCATCCAGGGAGAGGCTCATGAGTTGGCCCTTTGTCCTGCTAGGAGACTTGAGTAGCGGCTAATGCATGTATGACCATCACGAATGGGCCACTCAGCCGCAGACATCCTCAGCGGCTTGACCATGCTGCCCCCTAGTGTCCCCCTCAGGTCACTGCAAGCAGGAGCCGATTTGTGTGTGTGTGTGTGTGTGTGTGTGTGTGTGTGTGTGTTTGTGTTTTCCTGCTGTTTATTCTTCCCTCATTCTGAGGTCCTCCCTGAAAGGTCGTGGATTTCGTGCGTGATTCCACATGACTCAGGGTCCAAAGGGTCACAGGTTAAATGAGAGCATGGGGCCTCCTGTCACTGACTGGTACCCAGGGTGACATGATGTCTGAGACATGAAACTAGCCGCAGATGGACACGCAGGGTGCAGGGTGCGGGCAGTGGTGGGGTGGGATGAGACCCCAGAAAGTCAGCCGACTGCAGGTGAGGCAGCATCTGCTGGTGTCCTCGTCCCACGGAGAACGTGGCGTGGAAACGAAAGCCTGACCTCCCTTCTGTTTGTTTTCGTGCACAGATGCCCCTCTGGGAAGCCTGGAGAACGGGACGGGCCCGGAGGATCACGTCGTGCCGGAGCCTGGCCTTCGGTTCAGGTTAATGTCAAGGGGCCAGCGCTGCCTCGGGGAGGGGAGCGTCCACACCCGGCCCTCACGCCCGTCTTCCAAGTCCCACCTTCCACCCCACACTGTGAGGTGGCTGGGGGTCCTGGTGCTCTGTGCCCGGGGCACTTGTAATAAGGGACAATGTTTGCCAAACCTCACTTGCATGCTACTTTGATTCCACACTTCCGGGCCCTGTCAGTTACCTCCTCTATCATTTTGTGAATTTCAGTGTTGGTTAGTATTTGATAGTAATATTTAATAGTCCCAGTGTTGCATGATATTGAAGCCGCTTAACTGTTATATAATAGCTGTGACGCGTAGTCAGAACTAATTCTAAATTCAGTGTCTCCAGGGCCAGCCCACAGTCATTGGGCCAGGAGGGACACCAGGGTCTCTGTGTCACCACTGTCCTTTTGCTCTTGCTGTTTCATTTTTCCTTCCCTGTCGTCATGGTTTTAGTTTGTCACATCTCCATGTGCAACCCTAGCTCCTGGGTGGGAGTTCCTGTCTACTCCGAGCCCTGCTCGTGTAGACGACGGTTCCGTTCTCCGAAAATGGCACTCCTGCCGGGGGCTTTTGCTGCTCAGTGCAGCGTCAGGGAGGATTGGTGTCACCAGACCCTGCCAAGGCTCCGAGTCTCTTTTGGGCTGTTTATCTGAGAACGTTTGGAAATTGTGGCAGTGAATGAGAAAAACCAGTCTCCACCAGCTCTGTCAGCCGTTGGCATCCCGGTGCTTTCCCTCCTCGCTGGGTGTTTGCTAACCACACGATGGCTTCCTGTTGCACAAAAGAGGTGAAGCGCGCTTTGCTAATTTTGCAGATTCTTTGTAAATAGCTAATTGGGGTGGGAGTGGGGTGCTGTGGGGGACACCCCCAGTGTGTCGGAGTGCCTGGGCCTGGCCTGCCCTGCTTCCCAGCCAGCGTCCTGTCCGCGCACCTTCGGGGAGGCAGCACAGGATGACCCCAGTGCTTGGGTTTCTGCCACCCCCCCGGGGGACTTGGATCGGATTCCTGGCTCCTGGATTCTGTCTGGCCCCACCCTGGCTGCTGCAGGCATTTTGATCAGCAGATGGAAGACCTCTCCGTCGGTCTCTCTGCCTTTTTTTAAAAAAATTATTTATTTATTTGAAAGGTGGAGTTACAGAGAGGCAGACAGAGAGAGAGAGGTCTTCCATTTGCTGGTTCACTTCTCAAATGGCTGCAGTGGCCAGAGCTGCTCTGATCCGAAGCCAGGAGCCAGGAGCTTCTTCTGGGTCTCCCATGTGGTGTAGAGGCCCAAGCACTTGGGTCATCTTCCACTGCTTTCCCAGGCTGTAGCAGAGAGCTGGATCGGAAGCGGAGCAGCGGGGACTTGAACTGGTGCCCATATAAGATGCCGGCGCTGCAGGTGCTGGCTTTACCTGCTTCGCCACAGTGCTGGCCCCTCAAATAAAAATTTTTAAAACTAAAAAAAATACCTATTCTTATTTATAGAAGTTTTGCTATGAAATGTTGCTGTGAACACTGAACCATTACTGCCAGGGGAAGTACAGGCTTAGGCTCCCTTGAGACTCTCGTCACATTTTTGTCACCTTGACACACACACACACACATGCACAATGCACATATACACATATACACACATACATACACGCACACACATATATACACACATACAATATACACACATATACACACATAGACATTACATAGATACATATACATACACACATATACACACATACATTATACACAGATACATATACATATATACACAGGTATACACATTTACACATATACACACATTATACTACATACACACATACACACATATACACATACATACACACGGATACACACACATGCACACATACACATACACACACAGACACACACACTCATATTTACCAGGTCCTCCACTTTGACCTCACAGCCTCCGCACCACACCTCGTGGCTGAGTGAGGCGCAGCCTCCTTGTGCGGGGAGCACCGCACAGCCCTGGAGCACCGCGCCTGGGGCCATTGTGAAAAGTGAGATCCCCAGCCGAAGGCGTGGCAGCGTGGGAACTGTGGCTGTGGAGGGACTGAGCAAAAGACACTGTTTTACGGCAGGAGAGCTGAAACAGGGTCGGGCGTGGCCTTGTTGGGCCTCGGCTGGGAGCGTGTGCGCCAGGTGACTTCCGTCTCTCTCGGCCCTGCACATGCCCTCAGGTGCCCGCAGAGGGGCGGCGGGCACTCATTCCGAGGGAAGGCATTTCAGGGAGCCAGCGACCTTGCAAGCGCGGAGGCCGCAAGCGCTGAGGGCCGGCTGCCTCCTGGGCCGTGTGCTGCCCGGCCCTGAGTGAGCTTCAACCCCGGCTGACTTGGAACGGTCAGGTTGTGATGAAACACTGGGTGAGTGGCTGAGTCTAACTTCCTTCTGCCTGCTTTTTCCCAGCGTGGAAGCCAGTTCTCCAGGCCACGGAAGTCCGCTGAGCAGCCTGCTACCCGCTGCCTCGGTGCCAGAGTCGATGACAGTCAGTAAGTACTTGTTGAGCCATCGCCAGTGAGCCTGGGGTGACCGGAGCCTCTGCGATGCTGCTTCTCGTGTGACTGTGAACTTGGGCAGGAAACGGATGTGTGTTTCCCAGGCTGTGGAGTTGAATCATTCCAGCACGGGTCCCTTTCCATCTCTGGAGGAATTATTCTTCCGAGTGGGGAAAAGTCTCTCAAAGATGACCAGATGTTGCTGTTAAAACTGTCTCCAACTTCACTGCCCAGAAAAAGACTTAGCTATGTAGCCATTAGGATGAGAGCTAAAATGGCTTTGCATAACCAAGTATCAACCACTGGTGGCTGATCCAGACAGCCGTTCCTTCATTGCTGTGCAGAGCTAGGCAGGCTGGGGACAGAACAGGCCTCACCATCGTCAGAGAACACGGCTCCTTCTGTCTTGCCTCCTAAAACAAAATAGGTGTTTCAGCTGCAGCCGTCCATTCTCATTCCGGGTAGAGGAGCAAAGGAGAGACTCCTCCAGTTTCTCACGCGGAATTCCGAGGCCCTAAATTAGATGGTTTAAAAGTAATTTTCTCACCGACCTCTGACTGAAGCTGAGAATTTCCTTCAGTTAGGAAAGTAGCAGCAAAGCATGGGGACCATAGTAGCATCAGCCAGAGGTGATTGTGTCCTGGGAAGAAGTCACAGGCAGCTGGGGCAACTGTGCCGCAAGAAGGAGATCTCAGAGTGCAGTTTTCTGCCTGAAAATACGGATGAATTGGCCGGCGCCGTGGCTCAGTAGGCTAATCCTCCACCTTGCGGCGCCGGCACACCGGATTCTAGTCCCGGTTGGGGCGCCGGATTCTGTCCCGGTTGCCCCTCTTCCAGGCCAGCTCTCTGCTATGGCCAGGGAGTGCAGTGGAGGATGGCCCAGGTGCTTGGGCCCTGCACCCCATGGGAGACCAGGAAAAGCACCTAGATCCTGGCTCCTGCCATCGGATCAGCGCGGTGCGCCGGCTGCAGCGGCGGCCATTGGAGGGTGAACCAACGGCAAAAAGGAAGACCTTTCTCTCTGTCTCTCTCTCTCACTGTCACTCTGCCTGTCGAAAAAGAGAAATAGAAAAAAAAAAACCGCTAAACCTCGATGATGATTCAGGGTGACATTGTCTGTTGTTTATGTGCTACCAAGGAAACCTGCGTGTTACTCGGTCCCTTTTCATTTTCACACTAGGATGGCCCTGTTGCGGTTTCATCGGGGTCCTTTGTCATCTCGTGAGTTCTACGTAGTTTCTGGAAAAAAAAAATGCATAGCTTCCCCAGACTGCAGCATGGGCGCACGGTACACACGAGCTGGAGACCCCCAGCTGCACGGACCCTTCCTGGGAGTCACCCACAATGTCCTTCGCACGCCTCTGGGTCCTGTGTTCCCCTGTAGCCACAAAGGAGGCAGGGCACTGATTAAAAAAATTGATTTTTCCTTGCTAAGGAAGGCAGGCTGAAGCATGGGCGGCAGCTAGCACCCCAAAGTCCTGAGGGGAAGCAGGAAGCGAGCGGCCACGTGAGGCTGGTGAGGGGATGACCGGCGTCACCTTGTCTCGGGACCATGAACTTGGAGTTCTGCCGAGCACTCCCCGAGCGCGGGGCAAGCGTGCAGTGGGTGAAGGCATGACCTAGCGTATTTTATATTTCGGTCACGTGTTTCCCATTCTACTATTAGCCTGTAGTATTATTTATTTATTTGTTTATTATTTTTGACAGGCAGAGTGGACAGTGAGAGAGAGACAGAAAGGTCTTCCTTTGCCGTTGGTTCACCCTCGAGTGGCCGTCGTGGCTGGCACACTGCAGCCAGTGCATCGCGCTGATCCGATGGCGGGAGCCAGGTGCTTCTCCTGGTCTCCCATGGGGTGCAGGGCCCAAGCACTTGGGCCATCCTCCATTGTACTCCCGGGCCACAGCAGAGAGCTGGCCTGGAAGAGGCGCAACCGGGACAGAATCTGGCGCCCTGACTGGGTGCCCTGGAAAGCCTTTATTTGAAAAGGAGACTGTCATTTCTGTCAGTGAAGAGCCACTGTTGACTTGGAGTCGGTCGCTGTCAACACAGGCAGTGAGGGCGGGGTCCGTCTGTCCAGGCTGAGACCACCACGAGCCCTCTGCGTGGCTTCGCTCCTGCGCCCAGGCTCGAGCACCTGCCAGCATGGGTCCGGGCCTCCAGGCAGCTGGGCGGCCACTGGGGGACCAGAAGCAGCAGGACAGGGCCAGCCCCTTGAGGAGTGCTTCTCAGGTAGAGGGAATTTGCTAGAAAAAGTAGGGATTGAGGCCGATCGCCATCTTAGGTCTTGGCCCCACCGAGGCCTGCTCTCACTCAGTGCTGCATCTTCCCCACGCCTTGCGCTCCGGCTCAGGTGGTGACACCGTGACGTGGACGGAGGACGCTTTGGTGCTAAGCTGGAGATGTTCTCAGGGACACCGTTTTTTGGCCTGATGTACATTTTTTTTTTTTTAAAGATTTATTTGAGAGGGAGAGTGTCAGGGAGAGTCAGATCTTTCATCCACTGACTTAGTCTCCAAATGCTGGCAACAGCCAGGGCCAGGCCAGGCCAAAGCCAGGAGCCAGGAGCCAGGAGCCTGGAACCCAGCCTGGTTTCCCATGTGAGTGGCAGAGACTCAAGTACTTGAGCCATCGCCTGCTGCCTCCCAGACTCCTTAGCAGGAAGCTGGATCAGAAGCGGAGAAGTCAGGACTTGAGCCAGGCACTGCTGATATGGGATGTGGTTAGCCCTGGAGCTGCTGTGACGAAGACCTGTTCTGTTATGTGAATTTTCTTTTTTTAAAAAAAGCTTTATTTATTTATTTGAAAGTCAGAGTTACACAGAAGAGAGGAGGAGAGGCAGAGAGAGAGAGAGAGGTCTTCCATCAGATAGTCACTCTCCAATTGGCTGCAACGGCCGGAGCTATGCCGATCTGAAGCCAGGAGCTAGGAGCTTCTTCTGGGTCTCCCAAGTGGGTGCAGGGGCCCAAGGACTTGGACCACTGCTTTCCCAGGCCATGGCAGGGAGCTGGATCAGAAGTGGAACAGCTGGGTCTTGAACTGGCGCCCATAAGAGATGCCGGTGCTTCAGGCCAGGGCATTAACCCACTGTGCTACAGTGCCGGCCCCTGTCATGTCGTGTGCATTTTCAAATGGCAGGGGCCCGGAGATGTGTCCTCGGGTCTCATCTCTGCAGCTGGCGCGGGCCTGTACTCCGTGCTCTGCAGACTGAGGTCCCAGCATCTCCGCGAAGCCTGGTTTGCTCTGCCTCTCCCTCAGCTGCCTCTGTCACTGGCCCAGCCCGTGTGTTCTCACAGACAATGTCACCCTGAACTCACTCGAGTTATGGGCGTGGCGGCTGCGGGGTGGTTTTCTGGGTTTTATGCATACAGTTTCCTAGAAATCATTTCATGGTTTGGTGTCTTGGGCAGGGAGTGGCGTTTCCTGAGTTTATGACTTGAGTCTCTGTAGGACGATTCCTGTGTTTGGCCTCCTTGTTTGGTGGTCAGGCTGCCTGGGGTGATGCCTCTGTGGAGTGGCTGGGAGGGTTGGAGGCCCTCGGCCTGCACTGTGGGCCACCCTGCGTGTCCAGCACCGAGGCTCAGCTTTTTTTTTTTTTTTAAATTTTAAATTTTTTTATTATTTTTTTTTGATGGGCAGAGTTAGTCAATGACAGAGAGAGAGAAAGGTCTTCCTTTTCCGTTGGTTCACCCCCCAAAATGGCCATTACGGCTGGTGCACTGTGTCGATCCGAAGCCAGGAGCCAGGTGTTTCTCCTGGTCTCCCATGGGGTGCAGGGCCCAAGGACTTGGGCCATCCTCCACTGCACTCCCTGGCCACAGCAGAGAGCTGGACTGGAAGAGGAGCAACCGGGACAGAATCTGGCGCCCCAACTGAGACTAGAACCCGGGGTGCCAGCGCCGCAGGCAAAGGATTTAGCTTAGTGAGCCGTGGCGCTGGCCGAGGCTCAGCTTTCTAGAAAGTTCCCTCCACCCCTATCCATCCCTTGTGGGTCATCTGTGGGAGAGAGGGGAAGAGCAGGTTGCTGCGTCCCAGCTGTGTCAGGCTGCAGGGGTGGGGGGGTGGGGGTGGCTTCCCCGGCAGAAAGGTCTGTCTTCACAGTTCCGGAGGCTGGGAGGCCAAGATCAAGGCTGGCCGAGGTGGTCTGTGGCGCGGCCTCTCCTGGGCTTGCTCACGGCCACCCTGTCTGAGTCCGCACTCGGCCTGGCGGTGCAGCCCTCGTGTCCCTCTTCCTCTTCCGAGGACGACTGGCTCCTGCGCTTGGGGCCCCGGTCAGCATTAATTACCTCTCAGATTGCCTCCTCAAACACAGTCGCACTGTGTGTTAGTGCTCTGGCTCGGCTGTCATCGCTGTAACGAATACTGATGCGAGGTGACTTGTCAAGAAAGGGGTTCTCACGGCTCTCAGTTGCGGGGCTCCGAGGGCCAGCGTGCTGCCCCCCAGGGTGGGGAGAAGCGGGAGAGGGGAGCCAGCTCAGCCCCCTGCCGAGAGCTTTCCTCGCTCCGGGAGGCCCTAACACCTGCCCCCCAACGATGGGGGCCGGGCCACGGTCAAGCTGTGGCGGGCTGCAGCGCGTGGATCCGGGGGAGACAGACTTCGGTCTCTAACGTGCTGCCTGCCAGGGGCCGCGTCCCAGGGTGGTCCGAGTCTAGGTGAGGGACCTTGACCCAGCAGGTGAAGAGCGCAGAGTCTGAGCTCCCGCAGACCTGGAGGAGCCTGCAAGGGAATCGCTCAGGCTCACACGTCTCCTGCCAGGTGGCTTCAGCCTTAGGTAACGTCCAGGTGCGGCTGGCTGGCTCTGCCGCGCGTGCTGTGGCGAGGTTCTGAGGTTCTGGTACTCGGGGACGATCCACGAGTGCCCTCTGCCGAACGCCTTCCCTGTTGGTGTCTGTGCAACCCAAGGGTTACGCATTCTTGGCAGTCGCCCCTCAGAGAAGAGGGTTCGTCACCCCTGACACCCACGTTACTGCTGTCTCTTGCTACAAAAGCATCTTG